CGCCGCAATCCCTTCTCCTCCATTCTCCTCTCGGGATCTTGGGCACGCACGCACACGTGCCCAGCGTGAGGTTTAAGCCACCGGGTCCGAGACGCGAACCGCGGTCGACTACGTGGGAGTCCAGTGACATAGCCATTACGCTAACTGCTGGTTCCCCCAGGTATGTTGTCTTTTAAACATCAATTTTTTTTTCTTTTTTTTAGAGGTTTTCCCTATAGGGCGCGTGCGCTCGCCAGACAGATAGAGAGACATAGAGACAGAAAGTGAGAAATCACCCCCCAAGGGGGATGGCCACGCCGCAATCCCTTCTCCTCCATTCTCCTCTCGGGATCTTGGGCACGCACGCTCATGCTCCCGGCGTGAGTTCTAAGCCACCGGGTCTGGGCCGCGAACCGCGGTTGACTACGTGGGAGTCCAGCGACATAGCCATTACGCTAACTGCTGGTTCCCAATTATTTTTGGCCTAGAGAAAGTATTTTTCTATTGTAGGAAGCTAAAACCAGGATTTTAAATAATATGCCTGGGCAAGCCAGCAGCATGGTAGTTAAGGCATTGGATCCCACATGGTCAGTATGGTTTGTGTCCCTGACCTATGGCTTGAAAAATGCCAGGCACATGTGTGTGCATGCCCAAAATCCTAAAAGGAGGGAGAAATGGAGGAGAAGGGATTGTGGTGTGTCTGTTTCCAATGTGGGGTGCTTTCTCTCTCTCTCTATCTCTCTCTCTCTCCCCCTCTCCCCGTCTCTGTCTGGTGAGTGTATGTGTCCTCTGGCTTAGTTGGAGCTAGGACAGAATCCCAGAGATGTTTATATATTGCTGATTAGCTCTTCTTCCAGTGTTTATTTTTCTTTTTTAGCAAAGTAATAAAATACTGAATTTTCATTAGAATATTAATGTGCCTGGTGTTTTTTTTCCTACAGAGAGTAATGCCTTCTAGCTTTTTCCTGCTGTTGCGGTTTTTCTTGAGAATTGATGGAGTGCTTATCAGAATGAATGACACAAGACTCTACCATGAGGTACTCTTTTTAACAAGTACATTAATTGGCTTGTTTATATCTTAACTGTCAATCTGAGAATCTGAAATTAAATGATGCTCTATACCGTATGGCAGTTCTTCCAACCTTAAGTTTTTGGCATTTTAAATTTGCATCTGCGTGCTGTTACTGAAACAGTGCATCTCTGCTCCAAAAGCTCTAGTAGCTGAGAGTTTTCTAAAAAATGCTCCTTAGGTGGGGAGAGGGGCTCTGATGCCTTAAGCATATTTGTGTGTATTTAATCTATTACTAACAAATCTGTCCTGTAACTATTATAGGAATTCTAATCCTGTGGCCTTGTGAAATTTGTATTCCATAGTTATTTTGATCATTGTTCTTTTTTTGAAGAGGTTTTTGCCTTAGGGCACATGCACTCATTCACCAGAGGGAGAGAGATAGGGTCAGTGAGAGGGAAAGTAAGAAATCACCTCCCTGGGTGAATGGCCACGCCGCAGTCCCTTGTCCTCCATTCTCTCTGGGATCTTGGGCACGCATGCACATATGCTCAGTGTGATTTTCAAGCCACTGGGTCTGGGACTCCAACCATGTGGGAGTCCAGTGACATAACTGCTTTGCCATCTGCTGGCCTATTGACCATTGTCCTAATGCCTAAACGCTCAAAGAATGGTCGATGTGCAGAACTTTTTGTTTTGAAGTGAGTATTGAAGGGAACTCCAGTTGAGTCTGGGAAATTCCTGCAGAGCAGCCTTGCCTGTCCTTTCTGAAAGGATTTTTTTTAAAGAAAGATTTTTGCTATAGGGTGTATGTGCTCACCAGAGAGATAGAAAGTGAGAATTCACCCTGGGGGTGAGGGTGGCCATGGTGCAGTCCCTTCTCCTCCATTCTCCTCTCGAGTTCTTGGGCATGCATGCACATGCACCCAGAGTGCGTTTTAAGCCTCCAGGTCTGGGACTTGAACTGAGGTCAACTACATGGGACTTCAGCAACATAATCATTATGCTGTCTGTTGGTCCCTTGAAAGAATCTTTGGCTTTGGACTCATGATCATTTAGAGTGAGGAATTAGAGAGGAGACCACTGGTATCGGCCCCGTGCTGGTTAACCTTCCTCCAGCATCCCTGTGGAATCAGCACTGCTAGCATCTCTGTTATAGCCGAGGCGACCAAGGCAGAGTAGGGGAAGTACTTTGTCCAAGGGGTATGGTTAGCAGGTGGCAGAACTGGGATTTGAACCCAGTAGGCTGGGGTTGGATTGGCATTTTCCCAGATACTTTGCCTAGGGCCAGTTCTCCCCTTGTAGTAGCTGACTATGTGATGGCCTTCTTTTGTTTTAAGTGGTGGCAGAGTACTAAAAGCAGTCTGCTTTTCTTCTCCAGAGGCTGAGAGGAAGGAAGGAGCTGAGTGCCCATTTTGTGGACATGGATTCAATTGTTTACGTTATACCTATATAGTAGAAGGACACACAGCATTCACATTGATGGCAGAGGATTGTATTTAAGTAAGAGAGAAAGATTTCCATGTCAGTGTTGAATTTGAAAAAGCGAGTATGAACCTATTTGTGTCAGATTCTGTGTAGGCAGAGAAGAATGGAGGAGAAGGGATTGTGGCATGGCCATCCCTCTGGGGTGAGGGGGATTTCTCGCTTTCTGTCTCTCTCTCGTCTTTCCAGTGAGTGCACACACTCTATAGCAGAAATCTCTCTAAAAAAAAATTGAAACCATAAGGGAGTATAGTTTTGTGGGTTTTTTCTTTTATTGAAAAGTGTTTCAATGAAAAGCAAATTTTGTTAAATTGTTCTAAAATCTAACTTGGGAAAAATTGAACAACATACAGGAAGATTTTAAGTCAGCAGTTTAGTACGAGTTTTGTGGTGGGACCAGCAGGTGGCGTGGTGGTTATGGTGCTGGACTCCCTCTTGGCCAACTGAGATCATGCCTTTAATGAGTACTGCTTATCTAGTTGCGATCACCTTTAATGAGTACTGCTTATTCAGGTTTTCTGTTTTTTCTTGAGTATCTCACAATTCACCATTTTCTACAAATACTATGGATCTCATCTTGCTTGTAAGTTTATTAAAGTTGTTCAGGGCCAGCTGGTGGCATGGTACTTAAGGTGCAGGACTCCCACATGGTCAACTGCACTTTGAATCCTGGACCTGGCGGCTTGAAAATTGCACTGAATGCGTGTGCATGCATGCCCAAAATCCCGGGAGCAGAATAGAAGGGACTGCAGTGTGTGGTCATCCTCCTGGGGCAGTGATTTTTTACTTTCTTTTTCTCTGTCTCTCCAGTGAGCACACGTGTCCTATAGCAAAAAAGTAAGCAAAGTTTTGTGGCAGTGAGAGAAAATATTTTTTAATTGCTTTTTTTTTTTTTTAAGAGCGTAAAATCCATAGATATGTAAGTAAATAGGAGTACAGCTTAAGGGAGGGATGTAGTTCTATTTTTTTTTTTTAAAGAATTATTTTACTCAACTTTATTTATCCACTTATTTATTTATTTTTATTTGACCAGAGACGGACAGAAAGAAAGAGAGAAAGTGAGAAAGCAAACCGCCGGGTCCAGGACTCAAACCAAGGTCAGCCACATGGGAGTCCAGTGTCCTTAACCACCATGCCACCTGCCGGCCCCTAAGGAAAGGATGTAGTTCAAGACTCAACATTAAAACCTCTTGTATACTCACTTATAGTCTTTCCAAGTAGTACCTTCCCTTTTGTTTTTCTTGCATAGGACTAAATGTGTTCACATATGTTTTTGTTAGGCCTCTTGCTCCTTTCACACCCTGTTCTATTGATGTAATGTAGGCATCTGTTTAATAGAAAGGATTTCATAAATCAATATAAATAAATTTATTGCAACTTTTTAATTTTTAAATATAGGCTGATAAGACCTACATGTTACGTGAATATACCTCACGAGAGAGCAAAATTGCTAATTTAATGGTAAGTATTTAAATTTCAGGTTTTAGAAGTTGACTTTTGTTGTTTTGTTTTAAGTATGGCCTCTCCCTAACTCATCCACACACCCAGATTTATAGCCTAAACCATTTGTTCACCTTAAATAGGGCTCCACAGGGTAAATCCTACTGGCACATAACACACACTCAGGAAGACTGAGAGCTGTCGGGCACATTAGCCATCATCCAGTTCAGCTTCCGCCTTTCATTTTGGAGAACTGACCGCGTGGCTGGCTGTGGTGGAGCCACGGCTGGCACTGCTGGGTGTTCTCTGCTTACCACCCAGCTGCCTCATAATTCCTTTCACACAGTCTCCCTCTCTGTGCCTAAGACGTGGTGATTTTGTTTTAGCCTACTTTTTCTTTATCATTTTTGCTCCCCTGGATCTTGTGAACGGCTTCCATAGAATTTGGGATATTAGAATGAGTTGCTTAAGAAGTGATACCTTCCGGCAGACCTGAGTATTTGTGACTGTCTGGGTATAGACTACACTCGGGTTGGGAAGGTTGCTTAGATGCTGTTACAGATTACATAATTGAAGACTCTGAAGACTAGTGCTGTCAAGTTACAAGGGCCACGGGGGGGGGTTGGATTAAGATGTATTAATTACACTCTGAGGGCATTTATGGGTACACTGAATTATATAACCCTGGGACCTTTGAAGAAATAATCAGCAGGTAGCAAAGTGGAGTGACTCAGTAGCGGGAAATACCTGTTCATTTTAGTGGCATTACTTATCTGCCTACATAATACCTAATTTTGAAATGGGCCTACTTTTTGATCGTACTTGAACCGACTCATGCTAATGGGTGTCACTGCAGTAATGAACTTGTGCTGATACGGTTTTTGTTTTCCCTAGCATGTTCCACCTTCTCTCTTCACGGAACCTAATGAAATATCACAGTATTTACCAATCAAAGAAGCAGTTTGTGAGAAGCTGCTGTTTCCAGAAAGAATTGACCTTAACCCTACAGACTTGCAGGAAAATGCTCCCGTAGATAGAATGTGATACAGCATAAGCACACTAGAATCCGGCTGGACACCTTGGCTGTTTGTAAGGGGGTATTTTTATTATGGGAATTAAATGCCTTGTTTATGTGCAGATTTTCTGTAGCCTTAAAGGAAAAAAATAAAATATTGTTGTAGGCAGGTTCCATTCAACTGCTGTTTGTACTGTCTTGAAATCATATTCCAGGTTTGCATGTTCTCAAGTAAAATTTGGTTTCTAAGTTGTCACAATGTGATGTGTGTGTGTCTCATGAACAGAGGGCATAGTCTGCACCTGTTTGGAAATACTGTTGTCTGCCACGAGGAGGTGAGTGTGGGTCACCGAGTCCCAGTGCCCGTGAACTCTCCCAGGGCGTCCTGACTACCTGTCCAGGCGCTGGCTCTGCACGTCGGGCTCTGCACTTCGAGTCAGGACTTGCTACCTGCGAAACGAATCTCATGGCTTAATGATCTTTACCCACAAGATTGTGAAACAGTTTTTAAGTATATTTTTCCCTAATTTTAAATTGGTTTTGAAAGTTTTAGATACAGCACCCAGAAAAACTGTATTTTGGAGAACTTAAGCTGTTATGCACATGGGAACCTCTGAATGTGGTCTCCCACACTGACAGGTGGGATGGCAGCACATTCCTCCCTCCGTCTTCAGGTGCTTTTTTTATGTGCGGTTCTACTTATTCTGACACTTGGCATTTCCATCTTCCGTGTGCATGTCTTCAACCTTTCGGGGGATCTACTAAAGTGTAATTAACTTGCACAGGGCCAAGGGAGCACAGAAGTACCCAGAAGTACGTTTCAGATCCACTGGGTTATTCGATGATGACCCTTCAAACATTTTATGTCATTTTCTGCCTTCCTAACTGGTTTTCATAAAGAGGAAAGCGATTGTAAAGCACCAAGTAAAACATTATTTGAAATGGATTTTCAAAAAATCTTTAAAAGGCAGAGGAGGGAAATCACCCCTTTTGTTCTGGTTTGAAATAACTATAGTACATATTTCTACTTGATGGGTAAAGCATTAAGTTAAAATATTTAATTGAAGGCATTAGCAAAGCACTTCAAGTATTTGCTGGGGTATATGTTTTAGTAAAGCAAACACATTTGGGTGTTTATCACTGCTCACGTTTAAATGCATTGTTGTGAGCCACACAGGCAGGGGGCATTCTGTGGCTAAACGTGGCCACGTTCTTGGTCTGCCTTCCACATCACCTCCAAGGTATAGGAAATCAGAACTTTGGTGGCTGTCAGAAAACACACGGCGTGTTCACTGTATGTTAAATATACCTGTATTTAATGTTTCATCACAGCAAATTGTGTGTACCTTGTGCTCAGCTTTGTTTCATTTGCCATGCAGATTTGAACAAAACAGACTCTGTTCATGCACATTATAAGAAATGAAAAACTTGTAACTTCGTTAGTTGGAGATTCTGGACAGCATCATACTGTATGTGTTGTATATGTGATTTTTTTTGTACATCTTTTTTTTTTTTTTTTTAAGTTGTTGATTTCGATGTCATGGTCCCTAAGTACTCTCATATTACTTATTCTGAGAATCCATTGTTAAGAGTTATAAGGAATTTGAAAGATGGCTTTTTTTCTTTTTTTTTAATTAAACAGGGTGGGAGGTGGGTAGGATGATTGTGCCCTGAAAACTTCCGTTAGTTTATTCCTGAGGAGAATATTAAGAAAATGTGTATTTGCTAAAAAATGACATAATACCGTTTTATATTTATTTGTTCCAGGTGTCTTTTGTAAAAGAAGAATAAACAATAAGAAGCTACTGGTCTATATTTTGTGATTTATTGTAGCTCTTCTTAAAGCTCGGTTGAGTAAAAGTGTCCTGGGATGTATGTTTTTCACTTACGCTTTGTGTCCTGAACTCAGTCAGCGTTGTAGACAGATTCTTAGGCATTTTATAAATGAAAATCTAATAGGTGGTTCAGAACAAAATTCCCATTTACCTTTGGGCTCATCCTTCTTTGTCATCTCCAGTACTACTTTGGGTGTTTTAATTACCTTCATTTTCTGTGGGTCGAGTTAATGTTTTTGAAAATCTGAATACCTTGTTATGTATTATTAATTTATTTTTGAGTACTTTGTGTCCAGTTTGATGCTTGACAATAGGAGATTATAATAATGAAGAGATTTAGGTATGTTTTCATATTGTGAAAGTCTACTATAGGAGACAGTAAAAGTAGTTACACATTATAATAGATGTGATGATAGAAAAAATACGGACTTAGGAGAGTAACAGAAAATCAGCTTCAGTAGAAGTAGTCCTAATTCTTTTGAAGAGGATGTAGAAAGCCTGAAGAGACACATTCCAGACTTAACCAGAAGAAAAGGCTGGGCACTCTACAAAATTATAGCTCTTTTTGAGCAAATCAAAGAACCAAGATCACAAGGTGAACAAGTCAACTACATTCCACAGAATAATAAGCCCTCCAAAGAGAGATGGGCATACAGACTGTTTCATCGTAGGAAGGATAAGACCAATAGAAACAGCTAAGAAAACAGCAAAAAAAAAAGAGTAATGAATTCTTAACGGCTGTGTGTGGGCTTGCATTTCAGTTTGGGATAACTGAGAGTCTCAAATAAGGGCACTTCATCCAGGTTATTTCCAGAGGGTCTCCACTGGGTGCTCAGAGAGAAGGGCCCAGGGCAAGGCCTGAGGTCCCAGTCCGTGATTCAGGCATGGAGGAGGTAACTGGCTGCTGCTGAAGGGCGAGGCCGTCCACTTCCCCCATGCCTTCTCTTGAATGCAAAATGCTTGTGTTGCCGTGAGAGAGAGCAACAGGCCCTGTCACTCCTGGGGCCCAGGAATCTACTGCTAATAGAGGAACATAAGCAGAAACCATCTGCCTCTGGGGAGGGGTAAGACATGCCCTGCCTTCAGGACACTGGTGAGGAGTCATGCCACAGGAGGTGACGCAGAAGTTACCTGACTGCCAGTCCTGTGGCACAGCAGTTAGACGCTGTGCAAAGGAAGCCGTATCCCACATGACTGAACAGGTTTTGAGTCCGAGCCCTAGCAGCTTGAAAAGATACGCTAGGAATACATACACGTGCCTAGGATCCTGGTATGGAGAATTGGAGGAGAAAAGGATTGGGACCAGCAGTTGGCGTAATGACTATGTCCCTGGACTCCTACGTGGTTGACCACAGTTCAAGTCCTGTACCTGATGGCTTAAACTCACACCGGTTGCATGTGTGTGTGCGTGCCCAAGATCCCGAGAGGAGAACGGAGGAGAGGGGATTGTGGTGTGGCCATCCCTCCCGGGGGAGGGGGGTGCTTTCTTGCCTTCTTTCTCTTTGTTTCTCTCTTTCTGGTGAGCACATGTGCCCTATAGCAAAAACCTCTCCAAAAATAAAAGAAAAAGGCTTGAGGATGACCAGGCTCTATTAAAAGCTGCTTCCTCATGTGCACACATGCCCTCTGGCATTAAAAACAGTGATTTTGGAGGAGGGACAAGCATCTAGGTCCAGGATCCCACATTCTTAACAGAAAGGTCTACTCCCCCTTGGGGATGGGCACAAAGTCTCCTAAGACCACCAATAGATTGAAAGCAGAGTAGCTGCTATTGGGTAGTGGGGCAGGAATGTTGAGAAGGCCACACCCACGAGAAGCCTGCCTAAGACCCAGGTTAGCTAAGGTTAACAAAGCCTTCCTGTCCCCCCTGTGAGCCTAGCATTAAATAACAAGGAGTACCACTCAATTACTGAGGAAGTAGGAAAATAATACAGATCCTCCCCATGGTGTGGGCATGCAGAGATTTCCAAAAGTTTAGGATGGGACTTAAAGAAAAACCTTCCTGTACTCCCAAGTATGCTGTCAGCAGAAGGTAGCAGTCACCACTGGAAGAATTTGAAGCCCGTGGCAGAGTGAAAATAGCAACAAACATAGTCCCCAAATAATAGCATGACAGGCAGGACATGCCCATTTTCAAGTGTGGACATAATGTAGTTTGATTGTACACATCATGTCTGTCATTCAGTTAGAAATGATTCAACAGAACCTGATTCAGAGATGGTACCTGTTGGAACTATCAGCATTTTAGACAACTGGTAAATAAATACATCAGGAATCCAGTGGGAAAGGTAGGAAATCATAATGAACAGGGAATTGCAGGAGAAATGGAAAAGAAAGAGCGGAAACACTAGAAGCAACTCCCAGAATATTAGAATTCCTTTAGAAGACTTGATAACGCTGAAGAAAGAATCTGTGACCTTGAGCGTTCAATAGCAGTGGTCTCAACTGAGATACACGGAAGAGACATGGTGAGGAAGTGACCCAGAACATCCACAGGTAGTGGGGAAGACCAGAGCTGGATGTGAATAGTAGGATTCCCAGAGGAAATAGAGACCGATTGCAGAATAAGAACTATCAAGAGACAAGAGCCAAGAACTTCCTAAAGTTAAACTACAGATTCCAGAATTCTGGAAATCCCACATCACGAACTGCTGAACAAAACGGTGAATCTCTAAAAGACAGAGGAAAAAGTACATAGAGAAAGAAGAAAAATTGCAGTAGATTTCTGTCAGAAACTATAGAAGAAGGAAACAGTGGAGTAAAGGGTCTGCTCTTCGGGAGCTTGGAAGTCATCACTTCATCTTAAATAAAAAGCTGAGCACAATGAAAAATCAACAGCTGTCCTTGGGTCTGTCAGAGAAGTGAGGTCCCAGGGCCCACTACTGCCCTTAAGTCAGAGGGACAGCCAGGTAAACACAGAATCACAACTCTGGATCAGAGACCAGCAAGTAGACCCCCGAAGTGGGAATGAGTACCAGCGTGGGAAGGTCTGAACTAGAGCTGACAGATGGCCGGAGAATCCGTGTGGACAAGTTGGAGCACTGAGAACTCGGGAGGTGTCCACAGGGGCTCACACACTTCTGTGAGTTTTACTTCCAGGAGCTCGAGCAGATTCTCAGAATGAAGATAAGCCAAAATTCCTCTGGGCTTTCAGCAGGGTGAGGGGAAGAAAAAAATATTTTGAAATACACCTTAACACAGTGTGCGTGGAGAGAAACCTGTCACACTGGAGTGTCGGCTGTTGAGGGTTTTTCAGCCCTGGAGGAAGAGGCAGCTCAACTCCAGCTCACTCTAACCATCCTGTCCCTCCTAAGGGTGAGGAGGAAAGTACTGAGAGGTGTCCCTGAAGCCCATAGTTCCGAGGCACCGGCTTATTAAAAGACAGAGACCGAGGCCAGCCACAGTGATGCAGTGGTAACAGCATTGCACGATGCTGAAGCCCCTGGGAAAGTCCCAGGTTCAGGTCCCAGGGTCTCCCTGCGTTTGCCACACGTGCATGTGTGTGCCTGTGATCCTGGCTGGCTGCGGGTGGGTCATGTGTGAAGATCCTGTTGGGAGTGCCTGTCCACTCCCATGTCCCTTTCTGTCTCAGAATAAATAAACTTCAAAAATAGACAGATTTCCAGGATTATAAAATACATTCCCTTCTCCCATATCTCTAAAGTCCTCTTTATTGCAGTACATCATGTCTAGCTATCAAGAAAACAAGTACAAGACATACTAAAAGCCAGAAACACAATTTGAAGATATACAGCAAGCATCAGAGTCAGACTCATGATGGAAAAGATAAAATTAGACTAGGAATTTAAAATAACGGTAATTAGTATACTGGGAACTTGAATGGATGAATTAGCGTGCATAAGCAAATGGGCAATAAACACAGAGATAGACATTCTAAGAATATATATTTTTTTAAATGCTCGAGGTAAAAAGCAAATGAAGAAAGCTTTTGATGAGGCCAGCAGGTGGTGTGGTGGTTAAGGCACTGGACTCCCACATGGCTGACCATGGTTTGAGTCCCAGACCTGGCAACTTGCTTTCTTGCTTTTCCTCTTTCTCTTGTCAAATTAAAACAATGATAATGGTGAGTAAGATAAAACAGATATTCTTAAAAAAACAAAAGAATGCTTTTGATGGACCCATTAGTAAACAGGATATGGTTGAGGAAAGAATTTCTGAACTTGAAGATATCTCAATAGAATTTCCAAAATGTAAAAAGCAAAGAGTTTAAGGGAGTGGGGACTGAAAAAAACTCCCTACAGAAAATCAAAAAATAGCTGGGCAACTGCAAGAGGTGTAACAGAAGCATAATGGGAATACCAGAAGAAGACAAAGCTAAGGAATTGAAGCAACAATAACAGAGTTTTTGCAAATTAATGTCTGACATTAAGCCACAGATTCAGGAAGCTCAGAAGACACACAAAAGGAAAATACCCACCTTAAGAACAATAAAACAGGGCCAGCAGATGGTGTAATGGTTACATCACTGGGCTCCCAGTAGTTGACTGCAGTTCAAGT